GGGGCGGACGGTTGGAAAGTGCAATAGGAAAAGCGGAGGGGAAGGGAGAAGAAAAAAAAAAAAAAAGGAAAGGAGGAAAAAAAAAAAAAAAGGAAAAAAAAAAAAAAAGGCAAAAGCCATCAAGCCGGCCAAGCCCAGCCTTGGATCTCAGTGCAGGTATTTCTGCTGCTGTGTTCATCCCTTGCCGCCTACCACCCCGGGTTATTTTTTTTTTTTAAAGGAAAGAAAAAAAGAAGGAAAAGGAGAAGTCGAACTCTCAAAGGGTTACTATGCAATTGCGACTGATTTCTTGGTTTTTTATCACTTTGAACTTTATGGAATACATTGGCAGCCAGCACGCCTCCAGGGTACGGCGACAGGGAAGAAGTAAGTGCGAAGAGATTTATACTTTGATAACTTCTGCTTCCTCTCGTGGTGCTCCTCACCTGTCCGGGGGGTTCTTGTGCCCCCCGGCGCCTGGGCGAGCGCGCTGGGAAGTAAGTTCCGCGCCCGCGTTGCAGGCGGTTTCCTTGAGCTGGAGGGATGAAGGCGATTTTTCATCTGTTTCTGCTCTTCTCTCTCACCTCACCGGGATGAGCAGAGCTGGCTCCGGGAAGACCTGCGTCTGCTCCTTTATATTTTAATGTCTGCTAAAGGGGAACGTCCTTTCCTAGCTCTTCCCACTCCCTAAAGGGAAAGCGCGATGCCACGACAGGTAACTTTTTGCCGCGATGCCCTAAACGCCTTTCTCCATCCCGGGCACCGGTTAGCAACCTGGGGGAGGGCGGAGAGAGAGAAGCCCCCACCCCAAGACCCAGCAGGACAGATGATCGCTCTGGGTGAAGCGTGGCGCCCGGCGATGCGGGGTGGGGGGCCGGGGGTGTCGCGGCTCTGCCCTGTCCGCTGGTTTCCAGCCTCCCCTCGCCCCCGGGCACGTCGGCGGCACCGTGCGGGAAGCCCCTGGGTCATCCATGGGCATCGGCCCCGGGTTTTTTAGGTTTGTTTTTTTTTTTAAATCTCATGGGATGAAGGGAGTTCGTCCCTTCCGATTTAGCCAGCCCCTGACCGATGCCGCCTGCGTCCCGGGTGGCGGCAGGAGGGAGCCGGGAGGGCCGGGGGGCCAGGGCCAGTACCCGGGGATGGAGAGGGGGGGAAGGCTGGCAGCTCCTCCTTGGGGAGCGATGGGAGACCAGAGCCAAGGAGACCCCCCCCCCCGGCACCGGGGCAGGAAGAAAAGCGAGGCAGCCCCCAGTCCGTGTGTGTGTCCCCCCCGGGAAGGCGCTGTCCAGGTCTCGGGGCTCTGCCACGGGCGGGTGGCCTCCGGCTCCTGCGTGGGGCTCTACCGGGCAGCGCCGAGCACCCGGCTCCGCCGTGACACCCTCGTCCCCGGTCCCCGGCAGGGCCGCCGGGCGGACCCCCCGCCGGTGGAGGGATGCGGGTGGAGGGTGCCCCCGGATCCCGTTTGGGCAGCCCGCCTGCACCGGCCCCG